ATATATGCACTGCCATACTGCAAATACTTGCAACTATGTGTATTTATCTGCCACACTGCAAATACTTGCAACTCTATATATGCAGTGCCTGGTGCAAATACTTGCAACTCTGTGTATTTACCTGCCAAACTGCAAATATTTGCAACTCTGTGAAAGACCTACCACACAGAAAATACTTGCAACTCTGTGAATGCAATGCAACACTGCAAATACTTTCAAACTATGTGTATTTACCTGCCACACTGCAAATACTTGCAACTCTGTGAATGCCCTGCCACACTGCAAATACTTGTTACTATGTGCATATTCCTGCTACACTGCAAAAACTGACAACTCTGTGAATGACTGGCCACACTGAAAATACTAACAACAACAGTGAATGACCTGCAACACTGCAAATACTTGCAACTATGTGAATGACCTGCAACACTGCAAATATTGACAACTCTGTGAATGACCTGACACACTGCAAATACTTACAACACCATGAATGACCTGCCACACTGCAGATACTAACAACACTGTGAATGACTGGCCACACTGAAAATACTAACAACAACAGTGAATGACCTGTCACACTGCAAATACTTGCAACTCTGTGAATGATCTGCCACACTGCAAATACTTGCAACTCTGTGAATGATCTGCCACACTGCAAATACTTGCAACTCTGTGAATGCAATGCCATACTGAAAATACTTGCAACTCTGTGAATGACCTGCTATACTGCAAATACTTGCAACTCTGTGAAAGACCTGCCACACTCCAAATACTTACAACTCTGTGAATGACCTGCCATACTGCAAATACTTGCAACTCTGTGAATGACCTGCTATACTGCAAATACTTGCAACTCTGTGAATATCTGTCACACTGTAAATATTTGCAACTCTGTAGATGACCTGCCACACTGCAAATACTTGCAACTCTGTGAATGACCTGCCATACTGCAATTACTTGCAACTCTGTGAATGACCTGCTATACTGCAAATACTTGCAACTCTGTGAATGACCTGCCATACTGTAACTCTGTGAATGACCTGCCATATACTGCAAATACATGCAACTCTGTGAATGACCTTTTATACTGCAAAAACTTGCAACTCTGTAAATGACCTACCATACTGCAAATACTTGCAACTCTGTGAATGACCTGCAACACTGCAAATACTTGCAACTCTGTGAATGACCTGCCATACTGCAAATACAATGTACTTGCAACTCTGTGAATGACCTGCCATACTGCAAATACTTGCAACTCTGAATGACCTGGCATACTTCCAATACTTGCAACTGTGAATTACTTGCCACAGAGCAAATGCTTGTGAATTAATTGCCACAGAGCAAATACTTGTGAATTACAGCTACAGAACAAACACTTGCAACTCGGTGAATTATATGTCACAGAGCAAATACTTGCATCTATGTGAATATCAAACCATTTTGCAAAATACCTTCAACTTTTTGACTTTGTAAATTACCTATTATTGCACAAATTTCTTGCTACTTGTTAATTTACTCCTTCACAAGGGTCGGGACACTGGCGAGACCCTTCTGCAAACATAGAGGAAAATATCCTTCAAGTAAGTAAAAAGAAACATTTTCCTCACACGGGCCACGTACTTGTATCATACAACAGTTACCGCTGCTGAAAGACTAATTACAATGGTAGAGTAAGTGTCCAGTGCAACCGACTTTATGACCATACAAGTAACTACTGACCAAATGAAAATACATTATTGTCACATTTTGTGCCTTTTTCTCCCCCTACTGTAATCCACCATCAAGAGAGTTTACACGTCGCTTGGGAAATATTGGTGATGTATAAACATATTGGCGAGGCTTGTTTTTTTATGTTTTATTACATCATAGATCTATATATATTCGCGTAAATAAGGCTCACGGAAACGTGTTTTAGTTAACTACTGAATCGCAATGCCCTTGCCGAAGGACTTCGGCACTAATCGCATATTTTCGGCAATTTCTGTTTGATATGCACTTTTCTAAAAGCCAATGAGTTTCGAAAATCATTCAATCATAGCAATCAAACATGTTCTCATGTATAATTTAGGTTTAGTACCGGATAAATAATTACTCATTAATACAATGTGCCACTTAGGCGACTTTGAAGCATGAATAAGATAAAAAATTTCTAGCGCTCAAACATGATACAGAGTCACGTGTTAGTAACTATATGATAAGATAATGTAAATTTGATAGGTGAATATTGTTATATGTAGTTATATTAAATCTAGATGATGTAGTGAGGAATCAAGAAGATGTAGTAATGTGAAGAGAAATGGTTATATGTACATGTAGTTGTATGAACGCAAGAATGAGTAGTAATGTTAAAATGGTTATATGTAGTTATATATGAAATCAAGATGTAGTAATGTGAAAAGAAATGGTTACCTGTAGTTGTATGAATGCGAGGTTTAGTAATGTGAAAAGAAATGGTTACATGTAGTTAAATGAAAGCAAGAAGATGTAGTAATGTGAAAAGAAATGGTTATATGTACATGTAGTTATATGAACGCAAGAAAATGTAGTAACGTGAAAATGGTTATATGTAGGTATATATGAAATCAAGATGTAGTAATGTGAAAAGAAATGGTTACCTGTAGTTATATGAATGCGAGGTGTAGAAATGTGAAAAGAAATGATTATATGTAAGTTATATGAACTCAAGAAGATGTAGTAATGTGAAAGAAATGGTTATAATTATAATGTAGTACATTGAAAGCAAGAAGATGTAGTAATGTGTAAATGGTTATATGTAGTTATAAGAAAGGAAGATGTAGTTATGTGAAAGCCACTATACGTAGTTATGTGAAAATGACTATACATTTTCATTTTCACAAAAGGTCACCTTTAGGCCTAAGCACTATGTGCTCCAGACAATTACAAAAATATATATAAAAAAATAAAATAGAATAAAACAAACAACCGTGTGTCACATCTTTACAATCTGTGAGAGCAAACAATCAAATCAAAATAAATAATTTCCAGATTACGTCATAACAATATTGTTTGGCACTCTACATATTCAAAATACACTTACACCACGCAATATGTTAATTAAAATATTCAGTGCACGTGGATTTTCCCACGCGCAAATATGTACTGGGTGATGCACGTTAGCGTCTGTTAAATACTATAAACCCTATCACCAGACCAGAACATCGGTACATCTGCAGGTTTCCGCTTTATATACCAGACATTTTAATAAATTAAACGAGCCATTGGCATTATAACAAAACGGAAAATAGTCTAATAGATAAATTAGATTATTGCCCGATATGTTATATTAATGGTTATATATGTTGGTCGCTTATATTATATAAAAGCGTATATAATTGCATAATAGATAAATTAGATTATTACCCGATATGTTATATGAACGGTTATATATGTTGGTCGCTTATGACACGTATAACGCGTATATAGGTGAGTTTTTGCTGATCCGTTATATATGTGTGTGTATATATTATATATCTCTCTACTTTAAGTGTTTGTCACATTATTTGTTGTTCGCTTATTAAGAAGGATTTTGACAGCTTACAATCATCACAATCATATTTTATTTGATTGATAAAGTAATGTTTATCAAAATATAAAGCTTCACAATAAGTGACAAAATATGTCTTAATAAGCAGCCAGTTTTCTCCTTTTTTCAATCTTATCTAAATGCTTAGATGTATGGTCAAACAAAAATAGATACTTTCTAATGTTTCATTCCTAGGACAAATACACATATGTTTAACAGAATTGAACAAAACCTCTAGCTTCAACTGTCCCAAGTATCATTCGAAATTGGACATTGAAGTAAAATCAAAAGTGTTTACTCTGTGATTTTGACTTAAAGAACTAAAAAAAGTCTGAATATGGACTAATAAAAAAGGCAAGTCCGTTGGATCATGAAATATATGAGCCGCGTCACAACAAAACATCCAGTATTTACTCGTAAGTTAAGAGCCGCGTCACGACAAAACCAACATAATGGGTTTGCATCCGCGCAGTCTGATCAGGATCCATGCTGTTCGCTATCAGTTTCTTTACTTGTTATAGGGTCTGTAAGCGAACAGCATGGATCCTGATCAGACTGCGCGAATGCGCAGGCTGGTCTGGATCCATGCTGGTCGCAAACCCATTATGTTGGTTTTGTCGTGACGCGGCTCATATGTTAACTTACGAGTAAATACTGGATGTTTATATATGTGCATATTTTTATATATTTTGAATTATTTGTAATAAACAGACTTTTCCCACGACTTTTTAGGATGTACGCGGATAACTTATATTTATAAGTGTTTGTTATCAACTTATTTATGCATTGTTTGCGTATATAAATGTATGTTAGATTATATTAACCATATGAGTAGTTAATAGTTGAATACAGTTTATAGCTAAGATCTATAATGATAATTTAAGCGCACGTGCAACAATTTTACTCTCACTCCGCGGATCATGCATATTTGTTCACCACGCAATGGAATATCTTCTGTTTAAGCCTAAATGAATTGTTGTATTTTATTATTGTTATTCTTTATTTTGCAATAATTTGTTACAATCGTAACTCGAATAGAATGGCATTAAAGAGAATAAATGCACCAATTTAACTGGGATAAGAGTTGCGATTATTCTTTGAATATATACTTATGGTATATACGTATTGAATGTATATAACTATATATGTAAACTTGCTACTATCAGCTTAAGCTCTATATGTACAATGTTCAATATCAGCTGTTTATGTCGTTTTATAAATAATAATAAAACCGTACATTTCTAGTTAACCTATATGCATGCATAACGAGTGACACGCGAACATATTTTTTTATGTGTGCGCATTTCCACCGATGCTGGTTTGATTTGATATTTACCGTAGGAAGATAACTTATCTTTTTTTATTTCAAATTGATATCTTTTCCTAGATCTAGATGCAGAGAAAAACATGCTTGTATTTCATTACCGTACGTGTGTATTTACCACATGCGATGGGGGGCAAGCGTTGGTAAGCCGTTAGCAATGTTTCGTTCTCAATCAAACATATCGGACTGACATCTGGAAATTTACCCAATACACAAACTATACAGTATATACTTTTTGTTTAGCTATGATAGAACAGCGGAAAATACACTAGTACCGTGGTATACAGCTGATGTATTACACATATGTAATGTTCTCGAAGATTTGGCATAGATTAATCACGTGCGTTCTTGCCAGGTAACTCAGAAAAAGGTGTAGTTTTGTTCCAAGATCGTTTACAAAATGCGCACAACGTCAGTGATTTGTTCTTAATATGGCACGAGGAACTACAAAAGTAATGACGTAGAGCACTGGAATTATAAGAAATGTCTACTAAAACTTGACGAAAGTTGTGAAATCTTGGAATTTCAAAGGAATTTATGGAGTAAACTTGACTTCCGCGGTAACTGTGTAAGTGTAGGAATATAATTTGTTTCGTAAGGTGTATATTTTATTTATATTTTGTTAGATAGTTTAGAAAAAATAAAACAACAAAACAATGAGTGAAGAAGAATCGAAGGGACCGGCAGTGTGTGAGCATTTTGAGCCTCAAGCATGGAGGAAAACTGTATGTAAAAATTGTTTCCAGCCACCCGATGCACATCCCACCGGAAGTGGCTTAAATGGCGTTGCTGACATTTCCGGTTCCGGTAAAGGGGACGAACGAAGAAGCTCTTCAGTGGAGAAGGCCGAAAAAACAGCCGCTTCCTCTTTGAAAAGTAAGTTCGAACAATTAGAGATTGATAAATTCAAGCCAAAGGAAGCGGCTCATACATTGCCAAGGACGAAAAAAGCAGGCGCGTTAGCTTTAATAACTGAAAAGTATGATGAACTGGATAGGCAAGCAGGTAGACTAGAAAGCCCAACTAAAGGCATTCCACCCCCTACCCCTCCAAAAACTTATAAGAAACCCAAAGACGGTCTTTCGAAATCTAAATTCGGATCGGTAGAAAACATTTCTTCAGATGACGATATAGGTGAAAATAAACTTGGACTTAAATTTAAATTTGGATCTATGGAGAATATATCAATGTCCGACAAAAAGAAAGAACCCGTTCCAACACCAGCACAAAAATCTAAATTTGGTGGCTCTATTGAAAATATTTCAATATCTATAAAAACAAAATCCGCTGGGAAAGACCCTAAGGATAAGAAAGATATATTTGCTGGTAAACTTGATTCGTTTCAAAATGAATTTAAAGCAGCTTCAATGTCAAAATCAGGACAGACAGTTATTCATCAGCAAAAGGATGGACATGTTGATATTATAAGTCTTCCTGGTAAAAATAAAGACACTGCTGATAAAGATAAGAAATATGACCAAAAGAAAGACACCGTTGGAAAGTTAAATGACAAAAACCAAGCATTATCAAACAAGTTAACCGCATCAGACAAAGAAAAACAGTCTGATGGTAAACAAACTAAGAATTTTCTTACCTCAACAAAAGACAAACAAAACGACAGCAAGACTGAAACAGAACCGAAAGGTGGGAAAATTGACCTCAAAGCAGGTTTAAAATCTGTCAATAAAGATAAAGAGGATAATAAACTTTCGAGTTATAAAGACAAATTAAATAAAACAGAAGAAAAACCTACTTCTAAATTTAACCAAGACAACAAGTTTAAATCTTTAGCTGATAAGAAAAAAGAGGAGCCAAAGAAGCTGGACTTAAAGAAACAAGAAACTGCTCAACCGGAAGAAAATAAAAAGCCGAAATTTAGTTTTAAAGACAACTTAAAATCTCCTGAGCCGGATAATAGTCCATTATCAAAGTTTAAAGACAAACTAAAATCCCCCACGACGGAACCTGATAAGAAGCAAGCCCCATCATGGAAAGATAAATTAAAAGCTTCAACAACAGATAACGAAAAGAAACCAGATTTAAAAAGCCAATTAAAATCACCGACCCCAGATAAAGAAAAAGAGCCTGATTTTAAACAAAAGTTTCAATTAAAATCCAAATCAAAAGATGAAGATAAAGCGTTTCAAGCTAAAGCAAATGATAAATTGAAGTCCCCAACTCCTGAAAAGGACAATATTTCAGAATTTAAATTGAGATCTCAATTGAAATCGCCAACACCAGATAAGGAAAAAGAGCCAGGATTTAAAATGAAATCACAAGACACAGGTTTCAAGTTAAAACCTTTTGCAGCAAAAACAAACACTGAAGAAAGTGACAAAAAATCAACAGACTTATTAAAAATATCGAAAGCAGATTCTGATAAAAAGTCAGACCAACTTAAACTGAGAGAAAATCTTAAGTCTCCTTCTACCGAAAAAACTCTCACGCAAGATCTCAAATCGAAATCCGGGTCTGGAAAAACAGACGACGATGAAAGCTCAAAAAGCAAAAACAAACCACTTGACTTTCGCACTGGTCTTAAGAAAACGAATGATGCTTCAAACAAAGATAAAGACAAAGATTTACCAAAACTGGACTCAAAAAATAAATTTGAATTACCTTCATTAAAGTCAAATAAAACAAACTCTGTAAGTGATAATAAAAGTCAAGATTCAAAAGGTAAGCCTGGAGGTTTGGATAATAAGGACACTGAAAAGACAAATAATAAGTTCGAATCAAAGTTTAAGTTAAACAAGACTGATCCAAAGACCTCAATAGTTGACGAGAAAGACAAAATTGGATCAAAAAAGTTTGAACTTCCGAAACTTAAATCAAAATCTGATAAACCTGATGAACCAAAAACGGATTTAAAGTCAAGGTTCGAACCCAAATCAAAATTGAATGAAGCTAAATCAGAACCCAAAACAAAATATGAAATTCCAAGTCTCAAAAAAGTTAAATCTCCGGAACCCGATTTATCACATGTGAAAAAAGATGAGAAACCTAAGACAGACAAAAGTGAGGCTAATTCAGTCTCAAGTGAAAAACATGACACTAAAAATACTGCTGATACGAAGTCTTCCTCAATAGACACAAAAGCCGACTTTCAGAAAAATAAAGAAAATGAGGAAAGTCGAAACTTGGAGTCCAGGGAGGAAATCGATACGAAAAATACTCCAAATGCCTCTGCTATCAATAAAACAAATTTCGACAACGTTTCGTCTGATATCGAGGCTGTTTCTGGTGACGCATGCGCGGATAAACGCACGCGCGAGAAGTCACCTTTACACGTGGATACTCAGGTATTCACTAGTAGTCGGAGTAAAACCGCGGGAGTCAATAGTCTTGACGAGAATAACTTTGACAGTACTGATAATGCTATAGGAATTTCGAGTATAGACTTTAAGACAGCAAAAAGCCCTCCGAAAGATTCCTTAGATAAAACAAAAATTCAAAATGGCGACATTGCAATGGAAAATCATGACCGACAGGCCGAGATTAAGATGGACGATGAATACAAGTCAATTAAAGACAAATATACCACCAGTGAACTTGAAAAGTTGAAAACGGAATTGGCAATAATGAATGAAAGATGTCAGAATTTAGAAAAGGAAAATGAGCTACTCAGGGACGAGCTTCATGAAAAGAGGACGTCTGAATCTTCCCTCAAGAAGCACCGTGAGGACGTAGAGCACACAATCAAGGGCCTCCGTGATCATCTAGATTCTATGGAAGAAAAATGCACGCGTTTAGAATCTGAGAATATTAATCTTATGAATGATTTAAAATCAAAACATGAAAACAATCAGCAAAAACCAAACTCTAAAGAAGCAGACGACTTTGACGAACGCTTGACATCAAGAGAAAAAATAATGGAGGACATGATGGAAGAAAACGAACAATTAAAACAAGAAATTAATGAACTCAAAGTTGAAATGGAGGAAATGTATGATAGCTTTAGAGACCAGGAGGCCGAAGAATTTAGAGAGATTCAAAAAGAGTTGGAATATACGGCTAAGAATTGTCGCATTCTTCAGTTCAAACTTCGGAAAATGGAGAGAAAGAACGATCAAATCGAACAGGATAAAAACCAGTTTGAGGGTAAACTCAGGAAGCTCCAAAATTCATTCCAGGACAGGGATGCCGTCTCTCACATACACTCTCTAGAGGACGAGCTCAGAGTAAGTAACAAGTTTGATCCTTTCAGATAATTAATTAGGATAATTGATAAGTAACATCACAAATTTAGAAATGCCTAACGGTCCTTATAAGCGTCCATACTTGCAAATACGTAGATGCCATATAAGCTTTCATATCGAGTAATTTAAGAAAATGTATCATAAACTTGAACTTTCTGTTTATTGTATACATTTTTCTCTTTTTTGGACATCACAATTTGAAAAACTCCCCCTACATTTTGTGTATTGGTTGAATTTAGAAGAAAGTAGTCCGGCAAGGCACCAGTGAAAATTCGGAAAATATGCTTCACTGCAGTGAAAAAAAAATACAGTGAAAATACGGAGACTGAAAAAAACGCATTTTATTTCATCAATATTAATCAATATTTCATTTATAAGTTTATAAACATGTACATTGTATAAAGATACAAAATTTAGCAAAGTTAAAGCTACTTTTATATACAAAATTTACATGTCTTGAAACGTGTTCGTGAGATATAAAAGAAAAACTCAAATTGAATAATTTTTACTATTATTATTATTCACTAGCAGGCCCACGTTTTTCATTTTGTTAACTTATAATCATAGGAAGGTAGGCTGGGCTTATCAGGACTTGCTATAAAACACCTTCTTTATGACGTAAAATTAATAGGTTCTCATACAAAAACGATATGGTTATACAATAATGTGCCATGTAATGCATGATAAATTTTATTTAGAATTGATTATTAATATAATTTATCAATTTATATCAGAACTTGATTAGCTTCTGTAACCCATTAAATGATAGAGTGCAAAAAAAAAAAACCCCCCAAAAAAACCAAACAAACAAACAAACGAAAAAAAACCACACACACAAAAAAACTAATATTCACATTTTCATAGTCTATTTCGTTTAGATTTGTTATATACACTATTACATTGTAAGAATATTGATATCGAAAATATATACATGTATATTTAGCATCAGCCTGTAGAAATCGTGCAGCTTTATGAATGAAAAAGAAAAAAAAAGTTTTGGGTAATAAATAAAACACTTAAGATAAGATTTCCAGTTATTATCTATTTATTTGCTGCACAGTGCCAGATATTTTAAATATATTCTCAATAATCCCAAACGTCAAACGCTATTACGAAATTTGTGTTGTTTTTTTTTTCTCTCAAGAATTATGAATATATTTAAGGTATAAGATAATAATATTTTTTCCGACAGAAGTAAAATATAGGTAAAAAATATAGTATCGAAATACTGAGCCTAATAATGAGCTATTCCGTATTTTTTTTAATGTATTTAAAGATTTAGCTTTTAGCAACAGAAATCAGTTTCGCTCGTAAAGATTTAAATGCATCTTGCGACAGAGTACATGCTCGGTCGTCACCTTGTTGCCCCCAAGTTTTACTGTGTAAATTTACTATATATACTGTGGAAAACTTAAATTTTAATGTAATATTTTTATTAGTCCGGCAAGACAAAAGTGCAAATACGGAAAGTATGATTCACTGCAGTGAAAACAAAATTGAAGGGAAAATACGGAAAATGTAAAATGTAAGCTAAATTAAAATGAAAATGTATTACATTCAAAAATAACAAATATTCCTCGAACTCTTATCTACATCTATATATTATTTGAATATTTCAATGTAAATGTCTTATATTTCATTTAACAGCTTGCTAAGGAAGTGTCCGTTCGTCTGCACGACGAGCTAGATCTAATGGAGGACCGACGTAGCAAGGTAGAAGAGGAAAACCGACACATAACTGAGCTTCTCGAGCATGCCGACCGGAAACAGTTCAGACTCGAACTTGAGGTGGACAAATTAAGAGATAAGGTTAGACATATGTTAGAAATTTAATATTTCGTTTTTTTTGGTAGTTCCATTCTGATTTGGGTTGTTGATATATACATTTAGCTTTGCTACGGTTTACCATCTTTATCATTTCTGTAACGCACTATGACGATTTACTCTTTTTATTGTATTTCTGTAATGCCCCGCGACGATGTACTCTCTTTATCAGCAACGATTTACCCTCTTTATCATTTCAGTAGCGTCCTGCGACGATTTTAGCTTTTAACCTGTGCGACGATTTACCCTCCTAATCATTTTAGTAGCGCCCTGCGACATTAAATATTTTAACCTCTGCGACGATTTACTGTCTTATTCATTTCAGTAGCGCCTTGCGACATTAAATATTTTAACCTCTGCGACGATTTACTCCCGTAAACATTTCAGTAGCGCCCTGCGACATTAAATATTTTAACCTCTGCGACGATTTACTCTCTTAATCATTTCAGTAGCGCCTTGCGACGATTTAATCATTTTACCTCTGCGACGATTTACTCTCTTCAACATTTCAGTAGCGCCCTTCGACGATTTAATCTTTTAAACTATGCGACGATTTACTCTCTTCAACATTTCAGTAGCGCCCGCGACGATTAAATCTTTTAACCTCTGCGACGATTCACTCTCTTAATCATTTCTGTAGCGCCCTGCGACGATTAAATCTTTTAACCTCTGCGACGATTTACTCTCTTAATCATTTTAGTAGCGCCCTGCGACGATTTAATATTTTAACCTCTGCGACGATTTACTCTCTTAATCATTTCAGTAGTGCCCTGCGACGATCCAATCTCTTAAGTTCTGCGACGATTTACTGTCTTCGTCATTTCATAATTGGCCTGCGACGATTTAACCTCTCAAACTCTGCGACGGTTTATAAACTCTTCATCACTTTTGGCCTGTGACAATTAACCACATGGCGAATTAAATCTCTTTTGAAAAGGAATAATATATCGATAGCGTAAATTGTCGATTTACTTGTTTATTTTTTTTTTAATTTTTGTATCATTTCAAAAGTTTCATTTGTCGATAAATCTGATTAAGTCGACTGTGAAATAAAGTTACAAGACTTGTCGTAAGCTGTAAGGCATGTATTTACATTTGGAACAATCTTACCAGCTGTATGTAGATTAATTTTAATAATATTCTTGCATAATGAGCTATGAATATTGACCCGTATTCCATTAGCAGACAGAATTGCCTATTTATTCGGACATCAATAATTATGGACACTTTAAGATTTTTAGTAGCTATAAAGCTAGGTAGTGCTTGGGAGTTGGGGGGGGGTGGGGGCGGCGGCGTTTGTAAATGACATAGTTGATTTAATTTTCCAAGTGCTCAGCTGTTACCAAAAACAATAAATTTAACAATAAAAGATAAACAACAGAACGCTACAGTGAAAAGCTAATATATCAAACACACGTATTTGATTGCGTGAAAATAGAAATTCTCCAGAGGCAAGTAAGATAAAGTATTTGTGATGCTGTTAAGTGCACTATAGGAAGCTGCCACGCTGAATCATTACACGGGAATGGTTCCTTTCTGTTAATTAACTCTACAATTAACCACCTATAGAGAGCAATAACAAAACAAGCAGACGAATGAAGCGTTACGCATTAGAATCTTTTTAACTGTGGTCCGATATATATCAGTAGCAATCACTAATGGTGTGAAAGGTTTTAGTTGCATGTATATAAAACTTCTGTATATATTTATGAAAATATTTACATAGATCTACAAAAATGCCTTTCAAAAAACGTCTGTGTATATATTTAAATCATGATAATGGTCGGAATGGGATGAATTACAGTATTATCCTAAGCGTTCATTTTAACATGTATACATGTATATGTATTTAGGGCAAACATCCAACATATTAGACATTCTTGTACGATGTTTTTTTTCTATTTGATGAAACGAATTATTTAGGTCATTAACTTTCTCTAATATATATTCCGTCTGTTCGAGGTTCAGTCCCGTTACGTTCAACAGAAACCTGTCCGTTATAGCAGACGACAAAAAATGTTGATGCATTTTCCGAATGTAAGAGGTTATTATGGGGTCATTGTAGTTTGTCCGTCTGTTCTAAGCTGAATACGAAATATGTGTGATATTTTGGGAGGACAGTTTAACAGGAGTGTACTATAAATTGCTGATGAATTTTCCATGTTTAATTTAAGAGAATCGTTCGGTGACGTTAAAACGTATGCAGGATACAAATCAAAAAGCGTTTGATCTTGTTCGTCTGTTGCAAGAAGACGACAAAATATTTAACAAAATTTTAACCATATTTATCACCTATCAACAACCACTATAAAATGCATTCATAAAAAGATGAAATTGACCATATAATTAAAACATAATAGTTACGGGCAGCAATCTGGCTGTAAGGACAAAATTGATTATGTATGTAAGTTTATATAGAATGCCATTTCCGTTTACAATGTTTTTTTTAAGCAGTTAGACCATGTTTGAGTAAGGCATATATAAAATGGAAGGAAATAAGCAGCACTATTTTTATGGCATGTATAACAATCTATAATGTAGGAATTATTCCTAAACATAATTAGTCGTTGTGACCACAAAGCACAATTTTTATATATATTCTATTATAATCTTAGCATATTGAAAAAAAAATATATTGAAAAAAAAACCTGATATTTGTGTGAAAAAGTTTGAAACTATGTAATGAAATACATAGAACAGATTCGCAATCCTTATCCGAAGATTGACGGAAAAGGCCGATAAGTTGCAATTGGCAGTTTCGTAGAACATCAGCACTGGAAATTGTTAATTTGGAACATTTATTTTGTTAAGTAGGTCAATACAGTGCATGCATGGTGAAGATACATAACAACTATGTAGTGTGTTGATATAAGTTATAGAATATAAATACATTTCATCAATTTATCAGTCGCAACTTCTCGACACTTTCCGTCAAACTTCGGATAAAATTATGAACAATATCCGTGTGGTTCTTGCCCACCATCCCCCACCCATTCGTTTCATAAAATTCAAATTATCTCGATTGAACAGTCCCTGCATAGTACGGTAATGACTATGATGAACAACAACAACAACAAGTTTTGGCTTATATACATTGTTCTGTATATGAAACATACATAAATACTATCTGTAGAAATCATTTCTCCCAGTCTTCCCAGAAGCTGCCAAAATATTTATGTTATGTTGCAGTAAATCAGGCATAGCAGAGAAACACAACCACGTAAAATTCTCCATCGTTGTAAATAGAAATTACATGCTTGTCCGTATTTTAAATCGGCTCGTTATTTTTTCACGTTGTTGTCTCATTATTATATTAAAGTAATATGTCGTTTTATTAATAATATCGGATAGAGATTTAGTTGTCAATGTCCAATTTTGTTATTTAAATAAAACATGAATGCAAGATTATATACTAGTAAGTACGAGGGCAGTTAAAAAGTTCTTGGAATTTTGTCACATTTCTTTTTTTATAGATATGTTTACTTCAAAGTCTGTTAAAAACAGTATGCATAGTTCAGGTCATGTATTACATGTTTGGCAAAAAATGAAACTTTTCGGAGTTTTCATCATGAGATAACATTTATCTTGTTAAGATGCTTATTGCAACTTTGCTCAGTCGTTGGGGGGGGGGGGGTTAGGGGGGGGGGGGCAGAGGTATGAATTTGCTGAATGTTTTATATGTCACCATTTTTACATGACCAAGTTAGATGCTTATCATATATAGAGAGTACGTTAAATGTGAGAATATTTGTAATAATACTCGTAAAATGTACACAAATTAGTATTTTCACTTTTATACAAAGTATTAAATCACTATAAATGTACTTATTGACAAGAAAGCAACAAAACCAAAGATCATTCAGGTAATTGGCCAATTAATATTTTCTGGAAACTATACAGGACATAAAAAATGAAAGTATTACTGGAGACTAATGGGCCTATAAATTATATGTTATGTAGAACTATCAACGTATACCTTTAAATAATTGCATTGTATATCAGGGAAAACCATTTCTTTTACAAGCTAAACAGCAACACACAAAACCATATTGCTTCCATCAACCCTAAAATATGTTATGAACCAGACAGAAATGTTTCCAATGTTTCCAATACACCTAATGATAACACTATTATACGCACGATAGAAATGAGAATCAGCATTTCTTACATGATTGTGTTCAATAGATCTGGGCTAATAATACCACCCTGAGAAACTCCGATTCTTTGTGGTAACAATGTGATAGAGGTATTCTTGTGTTCTTTTGTATACCTTTATGATGAAAACACGCTGATATGCCCGATGTAATTAAGAATGTTACAGATAATTGCAGACATGTGCCGATAATTGACATTTATTAGAAGTACATAGGTTGCACACCACTAAATGTATTTGATATTATTGGCTGCTGTATAAAACAAAGCTTAATAAACCACCATTATATTGTACAAAACGAGTATGTCATTTCAAAACACTTGCACAGGATCTTATTACATTTATTTGTCGAAAAAAAAAACAACAACGACGACAATAGTCACAATCAGTTGGCAAGTCATTAGCTATATTTTGGCTGCAACTGTTATGTGAAAATATATATGTGTGTCTGAAAAGATACTTTTTATGTGTAGTGTTCTAAATTAACCAGGCAGTTGAAGTGATTGGTTGAAAACACAGACCCGAATAATATTTTCTAATAGCAGCGCACTATTTACAGTTTGGAATATTCTTTTATTATGGAAATGTCGTTAAATTGCTTTTAGATTCTAAATTTATTACAATATAAAAACACGAATATTGTAAGATTTCCATTGTAAGAATATGCTTTTTTTATAAACATTTGTCCACAGATTCACATTTTCGGCTTTGAAATGAATATATCAAAATGACAAATTTGAGTCTATTCCAATGTCATCGACTTGCATACCTCCAGATTCATAATTACAATATTGTTAGGTCAACGACCTGCATACCATTATGTACGCGTATATCTTGTAGAAGCAAACTATTTACGACTTCTTTCATATTTTGATTGTTTTATCCCACAGAAAACAAGTTAATAAAAACATTTTTAAAACCCATTTTATTAGTTGAGAAAAGCAATTCAATGAATACTATAACTTAATACCATGGATTAGAGTTCCTCACAAATGATGGCGAGAATGATATAAAACTTGAGTTTATTTTCGTACAGGTTTATTTTCTCCGTATTTTTTTCTCTCTCTGTTAAACTCAGGTGCATACAGTTAGCAGACGATAAGGGGAGATATGTTTCTAGATAAGTTTTTGTGTATTCCTTGAAAAACATCTAAGCCCCGACAGGTAACCTCAAGATAAGATCTCTCTACATTACCGCTAGGTTCTGTTCCATTTATATTTCCGAAGAAAGAAAAATAGAATGTATGGCACCAGGATATGTTATATTCTTTACCTTGTACAATGTATTAAGAACGTTAAAGTCTTTTGGCCACATAATTATTTATATTCGCTTCTTCTAAAGTAAATCAAATGCTTTTGACATATTTTATTTGCCATAAATGCATCACAATTCACACTCGAGTGACACACAGCGACTATTTACGAAAGACCGTTAGGGCCATTTCAACCTCATGAATTTACGATTCAACTTCATAAAATCACGATTTCAACTTCACGAATTCAGGATTTATTCTCCGTGAATTTACGATTTCAACTTCACGAATTCACGATTTCAATTTCACGAATTCAACTTCGCGAATTCACGATTTCAACTTCATGAATTCACGATTTCAACTTCATGAATTCACTATGTCAACTTCACACGAATTCACGATTTCAACTCAACAGTTGAAATCGTGAATTCTTAAAGATAAAATTGGGAATTCATGAAGTTGAAATTTCCCCTACGGTCTTTCGTAACTATTACTAGATGGTTCTGGGCCTCGTTAATGTTAGTTTGAATTAGGCAAGAAGGGGCCGTTGAATGTGTACAATTAAAAACCGTCCAGCTTAAGTGCAGACAATTTCATTTAATCGATTGCCAGGAATATTGCACGAAAAATTCACATTTGTTCTTTCCTCTATTTTCTTTAAGGTAGAGTCTAAACTTAGTAGAAATTTAGTCAATTTTCTATTTTGCTATAGCTATTATGAAAAATTATCTTGTTACTATTTTTAGGTCCTCGAGCTGAGACAAGAACTTCGGTCACGTGAGGGAGGTCCGGAGGGGGAGGAGCCAAAAAAGGTAATGTGTTACGTCTATGCATATTTTATGTTGGTTAATATTCTGTTCGCAGCATCTAGTTCTTTATTTTTCTTTAGCATTAAACCATAACTATAAAAAGTGGTTAATTGCAAAGTCGTAGAGCATAAAGGCTTTTTATTAGCACTTTCTTTAAGCACTTTTACAGTAAAAGTTCACGGGTGTGAAGTTATGTATTTTGCTGTGGATCTACATTTAAAGCAGTTTGCTGCTGTTTGTTTTTTTTGTCTTACAACATAAGTGAAAAAAATATTGAAAATTTAAACCTTAGAATAGAAAAAAATACAAATGATTATATACTTTACGTTGGTTTTAGTACCATCTATGAAGAACTATACTCAATGCACTGTGCACCATTTATTATATACATGTCAGTAGATTCACCCTATATACCATTTAGAAATGTAGAATTGTATCACTTACATGATTATACAATGCTTATTTGTAATGAGATAACATAAAATCTTCATCATGATTTAAAATAGTGCAAAACGTCATTGTTTATTGCCATCGGTGAAGTGAATTCGATGAAATCGAATCGATTACATTTGAACAGTTCCGTAATGATAAGGGTCGATAATATTTGAATATTTACCTAATGATAATCACTATCGATCAATTATGCCTCAGCAAAAATTACAAAAGAATTTTTTTTTTACCAAAGTGTTTACACTTAACGCAAACAACTGGTGAAGCTGTGCATTCACTGAAAAGAATATCCACTGCTTTCACCAGCACATCTAAGTTGCCTCAAAACGTTAATATTTTTGAAAACATCATCTATATTCTGGTTTTTAAAGTTGTTTTTATACGATGATAATATCCGATTAAAAATTTCACAAATCGTTTAAAAATATTTTGAAATTTAATTAAGATTCTTCCGTTATTTGGTTATAAAATTTGACTTAATGTTTTAAAGGCACATTATGCCTCAGAAAGAAATAAAATTCAATTCTTAAGAAAGGACAAAAATGTTTTTATAATGTTGAAATTATGGCTTTAAAACTTAAGATTCTTGTAACCTGTAGAAAGTGGCGAAAAAATGTGAAATAATTTGTTAAACAAAGCAGTATTCCAACTGTCATACAAAATACTTATTCTTTACAACTGTACTTACGGTTCAGCTAATTGGATAACGAGTAACTTTTTGGATACTATAAAAGAACACAGAACAAAACTAAAAAAAAAGTTTTATGAAAAACATGTAAAATAAAAGCATTTTTGAGGCATAATGTGCCTTTATTTACTTTCACGCAGCTATTTGCTATGTGCACATTCACCGAGAATACATCTGACATATTTTTACATTTTATGACGTCATGTTTGTGACGTGTTTTCCCCACGTGCGATATGCATGCGAATCCCGTGCTTTCATCACTAAACTAACATTGTGTTTATATTACAGTAAGTGTATATTTTGTACAAGAAGTGGTCCATAGGTAATGTAAATGGTTGACATTTCAAGATTAATGCTTCAATTTCAAATTAATACAATCATTATCCATTCGAATTAACTTTTTTAATCAAAGAAAATCGACCATAACTGATACAGTTGTTTTAAAAAGGATATGTTAGAATGTGAAAACTACGGCTGTGTGTTGCTTTTTGTAGATTACATAACAGTAGACAATATTTAATAAATAAAAAGTCATAATGAAATCCTGTTTTGAAACAAAATAAGCTTCGTTGCAAATTGCACGAGTCCCATTCGGCTGATACAGCGGTAGTAAAGCCATTAAGCATAGATGACGAGTAGGCTGGGCTTATCAGACACATGATGCACGGAAATCCCATGCTAACAATACCATGTATAGTGTATTTTGAGAATTTCGAGTCGTATTTGAATTGACATAATGTAATTTCTACATGCGTAGTAAATTACTGAAATATCTATAAACTAATGTTTAATCTTTAAAGATCCTGTATGTTGTAATTAAGGTTGTTACCACACTTAAGTGAAATTTTATATATGTATATAATTATGCTTCTAAAACCAATTTTCAACATCGAAGAATATGTAAAATATGTATTGCAAATATTTGTCCACAATATATGTAATAATTGAAATATATGCATTCATTTCTTATTGAAAAATTTGACTTAGACTTAATAATTTTCTGTAACTAATTACCTCCCTTTAATAACATGAAATGTAAATTCGGTAATATCTTTACAAATAATGCTTTTTTGGAATTTACAATATTGATAAATCTTTATTTGAGCATTAAATTTATGATATAAAACCATAGAAAAATTGTGTTACAGGATCTTCAATTCAGTGTTCAGTTTATTTATTTTCTGGATTGTAGATTTTATAGAATTTTTCCTAATAACTCATTTTTCTAGTTATAGAACTAGATATAAATCACTTTTATCTACAGCTGTCAAGTTGCCGAGCCACTATTTGAGGCAAATTAACTGAGTAAGGTGAGAACTACAGAGATGCAAATTTGACCCCAACATTTACTGATAAATTGAATTATCTATTTATTTTCAAGGATTACTAAATGTTTCATGGAATAATTACCTTTCCATTTATTAATAATAAATGATACATATATATACATTTCAAAATGAATATTGATGATCATGACAAAAATATCAGTAGTTACATTGTATGTGTCAGAATAACTTTGGAATACAATAACATAATACTTAGTATAATTCCCTGTGAATATGGATCAAAAAGGGGCCTCCGTGGCAGATTAGTTACGACCGCAGACTTCCAGCCACGTGCCCCTTTTAATTTATGTGAGGGAGCTTTCCAGCTAGATTGTGGAACGTCGTCGGTGGTTTATCTCAGGTGCCCGTTCCGTTTGTGTTTGAAATATTTCACTATGGGTAACCTGAAGTCTCCCTCCATCAGTAAAGCTGGAAAGTCGATATATAACCTTTCTGTGTTGGTGTGACGTAAAAAAGGGATAGAAGAAAGATAAAAATGTAATAAAGAAGTACACATGAGTGTATAACAATTTATTATATACTTATAAATGAAATATTGAGAAATATTGATGAAATAAAATGCATATTTTCATTTTCCGTATTTTCACTGTAAAAAATGATTTATTTTCATCTTGTGGCATGAAAATTACCATATTTCACTCGTGGCTACCGCCACTCATGAAATATTTATTTTCATACCACTCGATGAAAATAAATCATGTATTTATAGAAAAAACTTGAATATCCTCTATCACTTAAATTTAATATTGAGTGTTGATAAAGCAGTAGCAGCAGCAACAACAACAACAACAATCAGAAATTTGCCAACAAAATCATCGTGTTTTAAGAAATGAAATAGATAATAACATAAAAGTAAGGTTGTTTTACAAATTGAACATTTATAACAAATGAGACAGGTTAGAGGGAAGATGAAAATATGGCACCCCCTAAAAACTCTGTATTACGACATTAAAAGTAAAAGAGATATTTTGTGTTTATAAACTGGCATGTATACAGTAAGTGACTGTTTTTGACTTTTTTATGGCAGAAAATTCGCCATGCTCCAGACTAAGTTACCACCAGTTCTCTGATACTAATAACTCGTGCATTAATTAGGATAAGTTAAAACCGGGACATCTCAATATGAATATGATCATTCAGTAAAACAGAATACAAGTAATAGACAAAAACGCTATGACCACGAAAGCTATTTAACTTTATACATGTACAATGCACATTTTTAAGACATATTTGTTAGTCTCTAACATTATGCACATTAATATGTATGTCAGCGTATTTTGATTTGCTCATTATTTGCTATATGCATTCTTAGCTTCTGCAAAAGACATTTCTATTTTTATTTTTCATTTTTGACGCATGCACTAAAAAAAAACATGTCTTCTGCTAACAACTAAGCAAGCACTTCCGGTGTATTAAGCTAAAAGTGATAACCGCATGTTTGTTTCTGTTGAATAACATTAACAGTTTTGAGAGTTAGTGGCTCTCATGAAAAACAACGCAAGGCAAATATCAGCAGCGCCCGTGCTGTTTTGAATGGACTTCCAACTGTCGATTGAAGAATTCAGTTTTAGCTCCTGAAATTAGCAATTCTAGGAATGAGAAGTTGGTCAATTACAGTCTCATTGCAAGTAGCAATCTTAGAAATTCCTGAAGTATTTTCGATCTGAGTTCGGTATCAAAAATGTATGATGTCTTTTTGAAGTAAAATTGATGTATCAATATTGACGTCATATGACGTCATTTTGATTTTGTCACAATTTTGTTCAGATCGGTATATTAAACAAAAATATAATAAATACCAACACAAAGACCAGGTATATGTACCATTATGAAAATAAATAAATTAGTTCATTCATGAAGAACAAGGTCATTTAAGTATTACAAAAAACAACAAAAAAAACCCAACAAACTTTGCTATGGGTGTCAGTGGTCAAAACAATGTTGGCCCCTAATTATATTTACAGGAACTGTACTGACATTCCGTCCTTGTATAATAGATACTTCGTCATAATTTTAAAAATAATTCTGTTTTTTATTCAAAACGAGGAATGCTACAAGATTTCTAAAACAAAAAAATATTTATGTAATTCTACAAGTCGTGCTGGGAAAAATATGGTGAAGGGAATTTACAGTGACGTCAGTCGATGGGTACATTTGTTGATTTTTATTTGCCAGTTGTATAGCAGCGTTGTAACGAACCAATGAATATACAGAGCAAAAGGGAACATTTGTCGTCTGCTTTATACATTGTCTACCCTTGTTTTTATTATATTTTTACAACTTGCATGTTATTTTTGGTTTGCTGTTGAATCCATGCTTCTTTAAAAAAAACGAGGGTAGAGCAGTACATGATGAAGAAAACACTACTAAGATTGATTTACATTTTAGCTTGTTTTCTCCACAGCGTGTGTCTGTCTGTATGTCTGTCTGTCCGTCTGCCTGACTGAACCTTTTAGCTTCAAAACTGACCTGAAATAAGCATGCGAGATCGATTTGATTTGGATTAACAATTTTGTATA